ATCTAATTCCTAATTCACCTATTACCCTTACCGCACTATTGGATAGCCCACAATAGCTAGGATCGCTCGTCCCTCACTTCTTTTTTTTTTTTTTTTTCGGAACAACAACTCGAATCTTAATTAATCTTTTCAAACCTTACTCGGAATTAGTTTGGAATTTGCAAATTATGTCTTTTTTTTTTTTTTTCTGATTCCTCAAAGTGCAATCAGACTCGTTCTCAAACACACTTTTCATGCATGTAAACAACAACGCAGCATACTGGCGACATGCGCCCACTCAAAACTCAGAGATATGGCTTTAAGATATGAGTTCACTCTCAATTGGCTATGGCGACTTCAGCGCCCAAACATCTCACTGTTCACATACACTGGATCTCCCTGGATATCCCACACGCATCACTCGGAACACTCGACACACACACCCACACTCTCTACTAACTACTGCTATGGCAGCTATGGCTGCCTCTAACCTATCGCTAACTAACTCCTCCTCTCTGCCCACTGCGACCTCCGGGCTCATCTGCAGACCTTGCACAAGGCGCCGTGGCAGCGCTTCCGCATGGCTCCCGCAGGAATGAATGAAKGGCTGGGCACTGCCTCTTGATTTATACTTCAGAAACTCGTTGGTCTGCCCTTTGCCATCGGCCCATGGTGCTTACAGTCCCCCTGTGGTACTTGCTGGACCRGACTGGGACTGACTGGACCTTCCGCTGACTGACTGTGGACTCACCGCTATCCTACCGACGTTGTACTGCTGTTGCACTGCGGTTTAGTCCACCACTTGCCTCGCCACTTGACCACTTGACCACTTGACCACTTGCCTAGCTTCTAGAAGGTCTACAGCTAAGCTTCCAGAACTCACTAAGACTTCTACGCTATAGACCTACAGATCGAACCCCTACTGCCTTTGGACCTACGACAGACCTACCAGCTTTCTGCGAATACACAGGTCACAGGTTCAATTCTCGGGATCTATACAGATACTGTACATAGGTAGGGTGAGGTCTAGGGATCGAACCCTGGGTACTGCATCCGCTACTGCTAAAAGGTGAAAACCGTTTCAAAAGACTCAAACTCTCGACTTCCTTTACAAAATTTCTTTCTTGTGATGACCCGTTGAAACATGGACTGAAACACACAGCTAATTTCTGAGTTTTGCCCATAGAGTCATAGACTGAATGCCCTGCTGAGTTTCCCGCTTGCTACTAAGTCTGTGTGTGCACGCTTGCTGGACTGCATGGGCCATGCCTGTCTGAGTGCTGGTTGGCTTGAGTGTGTGTGTGGCCCGCAAGGGCACTTGCTCGTTCATTGGGCCCTCAGGGCTGGTACTTACCTGTGGCCGTGACATTGAGGGATTGCAGCAGGAAAAACACTCAAGTAGCAGGTAGGCCGGTACCGCACCCTGAAGGGATAGATGTGCGGGTGCTGGAGGCCGAGCACAACAAGACAAAAGTGGCATTTTTAGAGGCCCAGTAGTTGTAGGTTAGGTCTAGGTCGATACCAGTCCAACCAGTCTGGGTTTAGGGCCTGTACGGGCAACATCAGAGTCCACAATGATGTTTCCCTCCGAAAAGGAGGAGGTACCGGTTGCTTGGAAGGCCGAGCGGCCTGGAAGTCACCGCCCGAAGAGGCAAGCAGGCCGCTATATCTCCCAGCCGGGCGAAGAGACCGACCTCTTTTTCGGTGTGCAAGTTTGGCGACACACTGGTTGGAGCGCCGGTTGGAGCAGCGTTATGCTGGAGCAGCGCTGCTGGGGAGGAAGGAGAAGGACACGAGGGAGGAAAAAGGAAGGAAGGGGGAGGAGCGCCAGGGGTACTTACCTGGCTATGGTGGCAGCCCTCTTCATCACCTTGGTGGGCGGTACAGCAGGGAGTCCCCAACTGGGGAGAGCCACACCAAGAATCTTCGAGGCAGGGTCGGGCATGGCGGCCTGAGCTAGAGCAGCCATAGCTGCTTTGGGTTGTACTTTGGGCATCTGGGCAAGGCCTAATAGTCCGCCATAGCCTCGGCCTATGAGAGTGAAGAGAGAGAGGCGGCCATGGCTATGGTGGACCTCAAGTGATACCTGCAGTAGAAGAGGAGCTCGGACATCGATTCTGGATCAGCCATTCAACATTGTATTATTATTTCTTGTACGAATAAGAGAAGGGCGAGATAAGGAGGAGGAGATTGTTGGGCGAAGAAGAAGAGCCTTGTCATTTGTCTGTGCTGGTGTACATCATCTTCTTCTACTTTCTTACTTCTTCTTCTTCTAATCCTCTCTCTCCTCTCAAGTTCATTCATTTCTTTCTGCAATTGGACGGCCTTGGACTATCTGATGGATGTGTGTCTCGAAATTGGCCAGAACCGTGCCTCAACCCTGCCTCCCTGCACTACACACATCCCCAGTACCCAGCAAAACCCTTGCCCCTTGACCTTCCTTTGTCTGATCCGCTCTTGCCTCTGTCTCGCCCTGTTTTCCCATCTTTCCTCTGCCACATCTCTGTGTCCCTCTTGTCCAAGTCCTACATGTGGCCCCTGCGCGTCGCCGGCGATAACAGATCTAATGGCAAGCGCACGAGGAAGATGGCATGCTGCAGCTCAGTACGAGGAGATAAGACAGCTGGTTGGGCACCATGCTTTCCCTTTGGCTGCCACCTTGGACTCGCAGACTTCTGGAGCAGCACCTCTGACATGGACATCAAGATCAGTCTGCGACCTGCTATCCGGATCAGACCTCATCATCAGGTCGTGTGCCGGACGCAACCTGCTACTGGGACAATCAAGCTGACGCCATCGCCGTCTACATCACAGAACTGCTCAAGACTGCTTCCTCACCGCCACTTTTGCGACGCCCTCCAAGACCTTCCTCAAGACATTTTATTTTTTCCGCAGTTCGACACTTTGTTACAGACCTGAGACGTTGCTTTCCCAAGATCCCTCAGACACCCCAGCATTGAGCAAACAGCTTCTTTATTTTTTTCTTTTTCTCAAACTTGACAACCTATAACCTCGTAGAACAAAAATACGATTACCCTGTTACCTGAAATTGCTACCCTCACCCTTATAGAACCTCAATAGGATTCCCTGTTACTTGAGCATTGATACCCTCACCCTTGAAGAACCTCAACAGGATCACCCTGTTACCTGAGCATTGATTCCCTCACCCCTGTAGAACCTCAATAGGATTACCCTGTTACTTGAGCATTGATTCCCTCATCCCTGTAAAACCTCCATAGGATTACCCTGCTACTTGCATTACTCCCCTTTTCCTTTTCTGACCAGGGATCGAGCCCTGGCTAAGTCCGTAACACTACCCCTCCGTCTGGAAGGCAACGTCCCGGCTGCCAAAGACCCAATGAACATTTGTGAAGGACGGGACGGGGCCGCCAGACTGCTATTTTTATTTTTGAGTTCCTGATCTCCAGTTCCTGACTGTTGGCACCTTTTGCAGTTGGCACCCGTTCTCAAATCCCTGCTCTGGCACTTTCGGATTTCGATACTTGGCGCCATCTGGCATTCTGGCGCCCGGGCTCAGACCTTCGATTTCGAGTTCGGCCCCGAGGCAAATTGTATTTCTGCCCTCGGGACTCAACTTGAGTCCGGTACTTAAGACCAGACTCAAGCCCAGTTCGGGCATTCAGTTTTCGGCCTCATGTGCTTGTGCTTCAGTGTGACTTGCTGCGACGTTGTGTTCTGAATCCAAGATTGCGACTTTGCGACTTTGCCACTTTGTGTCTGTGTCCGTCCAGTCGTGTCGAGTCTGCGTTGAGTCGAGTGAGCGTGTGTGTGTGCTCTCACTCTCCCTCTCTCTCCCAGCCTCTCTGCTATGCCTCAGCCCCGTCACAAGACGGGTTTTTCCCTCTGACCATCAACAGAACAATCAGACTCAGAAAAATGTGCACTTCCTGGGCTCAGGCTCTCA